AAATAAATAAAAACAAGTTATGATTGAAGAAACGATGCATAAGGAAAAGCACAAAAATGCATTTGTTGACAAAAAACAAAGTGATAAAATATGTTTTTTAGACGAAAAGTATTAACAATACTAGTTCAGACAGGTCGTGAATAAAAGGGACGATGAGCTTAGGCAACACATCTGACGATGAATACAGGATTCGCCAAATATTAATTGTGTTAGATTTATTGGAATATTGGAAACAATGAGAATGTGGAGATTTTAAGAAAAAATGAGTAGCCGAGAACTAATGAGGAAAACGAGTCAGTGGACACTATGCTCTACCCTCAAAGGGATCATAGTTTCGTATTTATTCCTGTTCCAAAATATAGCATAAACGAATGGTTGAAATTGAAATATGGGTTTCACAAGAAAACAGTTAGAAATACAATGCATCGTAGTAATATGAACTGTTGATACTAGCTGTAAAATTACTAGGTACTGCCTTTGGTACTTCCACAGTGTAACGCATAAAGTAATGGTTAATTATAACAAAGCATTTTAAGACAAAATGACTAGAAAATACTCAAAAACGGATTCCATTTGATTCTGATGAAAAATAAGAACTTTCTCAAAAAGTATGTTTTACGTAATATTGTAATGCGTTGCATCATCTATTCTACACGTTCGCAAAATGTAGCTGGAACTTATTCATAAAAAAAAAGAACCCTACATACATACATTTGAAATATAGGCGCCGAAGCCGGGCCTATGGTGAAAATTGTCAATCATCCATTTTCCATTTCCATTTCTTTAGCACGAATTTATAGTAAACTTAAAACAGATACTCTAGAACTCCATTTATTTTTATTAGTTTTTATCATTAGCATCAACGCAAAGAATCATAATTTCATCTAACAACGAATGTGATCTGTGCCCGGAATAACTATTGATGTCTCACTTAAAACTTAACACTCAAATATTTGCATTACAACAATTGAAAAGCAGCATGAGTAGGAAATGCCTACTTTGCACGTTTTCATTCACATCTCACTTACAGCATATAATTTAATTGCTTTAATGATGAGGGTGTTCAACTTGCAGAAAGGGGTGGTTAGTATCTGTAGAACACTGTAAACCTATGTTCAGAAATATAAGAATAATGCAACTGCCATATTCTATGCATTACATATTCTTCAGAAAGTTGGAAAGTATAATGGATATTATTATTCCGAACTCCAATACTACTCAACCAAGAGAGCAAGAGTGCTGAGACCTCGTAGGCTCAGGTTAACAGTTTCCGCTCGCACTTCCTTGAACCAGAACCTATATATTATAATAAACTACCTGCAGGCATACCTGCGATGAACAAAACAAAAGTATATTGCTCAGCGAGTGTTTCTACAACACACGCTGAGTTTTTAAACTACATGTTTAGCTTACTTTGTATTTGATTATGTGCCTCTGTTTTTACTCATTTATGTTTTGATTAATTTATGTTTATATATGCCTTGCTATTTTTGTATACAGGGTCCGTCAGAAAAAACGCATGTTTTTTAAAGGACTAGTACAGTCAAAATAAGTATGGCAAAATATATGTTAGTATATCAAAATACCCAGAAATACATGCCATTTTTTTGAGTAAAACAAAATTTACGTTCTAAAAACTTTGTCGGCCAGATGGCGCCCTTGAGCCGAAATGCAGGAATCAAGTCTCTCCCGAAATGAGCCCATTGCATCGGCCAGCATCCGTACAGGAATTTGGGTTACTTCTCTTCTTATTGCCTCCTTCAAATCGACGAGGGCCCGAAGCTTGCTTTGGTAAACTTTTGATTTCAGGTAGCCCCATACAAAAAATCACACGTTCACATGTCCGGGGAGCGAGGGGGGCATGGAATATCGCCATGACGTTGAATGAGACGTCCTGGGAAGTTTTGCCGAAGAAGGTCCATCGAAGTGCGAGCTGTGAGATGTTGCCCCGTCTTGTTGGAACCACACTGTTCTGAGACGGACACGTCGACGTCGAAGTTTCCGAAAAAAAAGTTGTTCAGCATGTGGATGTAACGCTCACTGTAGTTGCTTCTCCATCATCATCATAAGGGCCAATAATCATCATCGGGCCTACTGCACACCAAACTGTAACTTTCGGGGTATGCAGGGGGTGCTCATGCAATTGTTAAGGGTTCACTGGAGACCAATATCGACAATTTTGTTTATTGACGTATCTATGTAAATGAAAATATGCTTCATCACTCATAAATAACGTCATGTCATTGTTATCAAACTGTTCAATCTTGAGCTGTGCAAAATTAACACGTTGTGCATAATCCCCTTGACAAACTTGGATTTTGTAAGGATGGAACAGTAAATCCTTCTTCATGATGCGACGTACAGAGGACGCCCTAGGGAACTGGCACGCAAACGGACAGAACGATTCGGGCTTTGCAGCGTGTCAACTCTCACTCTGTCTACGTTTTCGGGGGTTCTAACAGTGCGGTTTCGCACTGGCGGTTTTTTCTTCATCACATTACCTGTTGTGTTGAAAGCTTCCACCCATCTCAAAATGGTGTTACGGTCTGGTACTGTCCCATGACGTGGAACACGAAAGTGAACGCGAAACTCACGTGGCGTTCGAACGACAGACTCGCCATTTTGAAAGTGCCGCCGTACAGTGAACACACGATGCTCAACGTTCCAAACCATCTTGCCAACTGAAACGGCACTTCTTCCACTATCCAACACGCCCTTCCCCACCCACACGGGACCAGCCCACTCGATGTAGTACCTATTCGAAAAACATGCGTTATTTCTGACGGACCCTGTACATTGTTGAATACGTTCCTCCGGTTCCGTGTATGTTGACTTAGTATATACGCATTCTATGTATCAAATGATCAATAAATTTTATAATCATTACAATTATCCTTTTCGAATTTGATGTGATTTCAAAAAAATAGTGAATAGTAGATTTAGGCAACTGAAGGGGTCCAGTTTGTGCAACTAAAACCAAAAACTTGTTAATCAATAAAACAACAAACAACTAAATGAATCAATTTCATGGAAAAAGCAAACTTAAGATTTCGTCATCAAGAACATATAACAGGTACCTATAAAGGGTTAGTATCTAAGAATAATAATGAAACTTGCACCACTGTTACGAACAGACAAAATGTGAGGACAGCTGGGCATCTGCTCCCCTATGGTTTGGTAAATGCCTAAGCTACTATTCACACTGAGCAGTAATGGTATCAAAGAATGCAGCGTTCATGACACCAGGTATACGTTTAAAGTGAGAAGTCCGATTTAAGTCACTTTCCTCTATTTGCAATAGTTACCTATATTGGAAAAGTTCTCGCTTGAACAGTATTTTATTATACACGATATTGTACCTACGCAAACGTGTAAATGTAATAACTCATCAAACAAAATTCAATTTGTTTTTATCTCATGTTTACGACAAACAATTAATTAACATTATAAAAGTTTTACTAGATTTGCAAATATTTCGAATGAAAAACATATAATCAAACTCACTTATGATAATTCTAGTTTATTTATCAAATGTATTTAAATAGGAACATAAAATTCAATAGTAGCAACATAAAATGCAAAATATATAAATACACGACCTTCTACCCCAAAACGATTTCTGATAAATATTTTTTAAATTCGAGTTAAGAAAACAGAGTGACACCTCCTCACACCTCATTTTTTGCGCATTACGCACTCTACGCAACCTACCACAAAATCGACCAAAACAACCGATGACACCCCTGAGAAAATCTATCATAAGCTAATCCGTAAACGATTGATCCACATTATCTGTCAAACATTCATCCATAAATCACAAAAAAAAACATCGATATCACCAGAGACCGGTACCCGTAGGTGCGTATTTCGTAGTTGGTAAATTTGGCAACGTCGCCGGCGTGCCGTAGTCGCGTCGACGGAGACGGTCGCGGTTTGACTGGCCGCCGTCTCGGCAACGTTGCCAATGTGACTGCCGACGGCGCCAGCCGAAAAACACCGGAGAATTTCGATGGAATAGGCCGAGAAAGTTAGGATGCTGAACGAAATTCAACTCATCTTTGTACAATATACTTTTACTAGTACATTTCATGGTTTTTGGCCAGTCACATTGAAACCACCTGCATCACTTTTCAACCTCAAATTTATTATTATCCTGAGAGTCGTTACAATGTATGCATATGATTCGCCAGAAAAAACTAATAAAACAACACAAATATGTATCAAACAAACAGACAAATCATAAAATAACAAACTCAGAGACGCAAGTACAAAGGGTTACTATAAAGGTTTTGCAATACTGCTTTATTTATTGACTTCGTTTAAAGTAATTTCCACACACAATACACTCGTTGTGCCAAGCACCCAGAAGGTCCACCTAGCTAGAAAACCGTTTTCCTTTTAGCTTCATTTTTACATGCGGAAACAGTGCAAAGTCGCAGGGAGCAAGATCTGGACTATAAGGAGGGTGCTCAATACCAAGTGTCCATGCTTGACTTTGGCCGCAAGTTTTTCATAGACTCTATGACTTTAGGCAGGCACTGTTCCGTGTACCACTTAGCTGTAACAGTCTTCTGTGTGTCCAAGACGACACGCTCCACAATCCCGCTCGATTTGAAAATTACAGCTTCATTTTTTTCTCAACAGATCGGGTTTTTCTGACAACTACGGGTGTGTTCTCGTCATCAAAGATCCACACTTTGTTTTGAGCCTTTTTGAGCCAAGTGTTGTCACCTGTTACGATGCTGTTCACATACCAAGATTGCCCCTTATCAAACATTTTCAGCATCTTACCGCACCAAGTCGTACGACGAGTCTTCTGCTCTTCCGTCAGTCTATGCGGTATCCAGAGAGAACAATGGTCAGGCAGAATTGAATGAATTGCTGGTGCATAAATGTGTAAGGTCTCCTCTATCTGTTGGTATGTCACTCTCTGGTCTTTGTCAAGTATTTTCCTCACAGCGGTAATTTTTTCTTCCGTTACTGACGTTCGCGTCCTTTCTTCCCTCTCAGCGTCCTCCAGAGTGAAATTGCCCCTTTGGAATTCTCTGTATCACCTAAATATAGTCGTACGATGAGGACAATCATTCTTTAATGCAAGCGTCATTTCTTCTAAACATTTGTCTATGCTTAAACCACTCGTAAAGTTATACGGTAAAACTGCCCTTATCTCACTACGTGGCCACTATGCCAGAGCCCGCACTTCACAGTGTCAGTAGGAATGAACAACTGATTCAAACACGTACTGCTGGCGACTACTACGTACTCATGGACATGTCTCAACATGCAGTAACATTGCAAAACTTTTATAGTGCCCTTTATATGTGCTGGGTGCGCCATCTATTACTTTTTTTTACCTATACGTTTGTGTTACCATGTGAGTCAAAAGTCATGTGGTATGCATAAATGAACTGTCAAAGGTATGCCATTTATAGTCATGGATTCGTTTATAACACAATAACGCATTTTGGTTATCCAAACATTACGAAAACGGTCGAAATATAAAAAATACTTTTCGCAAACTTCGCACTAGTTTTGGCCGACATGGATGCCCTACAGAGCCTGGAATTCGTTAGATAGTTAATCGTTTTGAGGAAGCTGGTTCAGCTGAAGGTCGTAGACCATATCAACATGCGCGGCCAGCTCGTACTCGTGAAAAGATAGCCGCAGTGAGTGAAAGTGTGCGAGAAGAACCAACCACCTCGACTAGGCACCGTTCGCAACAATGGGAATTAGTGAGACCACTTTACGCCGGATTTTGCACATTGATTTACGCCTCCATCCATACAAAATCCAACTAAACACAAGAATTGAAGCCGGCAGACCATCAACAGCGGCGTGTTTTTGTTAATTGGATGCTGGGAAGAGAAGACGGATTTTCGGCCAAAGTGCTCTTTTCTGATGAGGCTCATTTTCACCTCAATGGGTACGTAAATAAGCAAAATGGCAGATTCTGGGGGGCTGAAGATCCACACCAATATCATGAACAACTTCTCCATCCTGAAAAAGTGACTGTTTGGTGCGGATTATGGGCTGGTGGCATCGTTGAACCACTCTTCTTTGAAAATGCCGAAGAAAAGGCCATTACCGTCAACGGGAAACGTTAACGTGGCATGTTAACAGACTTTTTGTGGCCACAATTGGATCGTATTGTTGCCGACGATCTTTGGTATCATCAAGATCTCGCCAAACAATCGCCTTATTGCACACGAAATTTCAAGACCGCATAATTTCACGAAATTCAGATGTTAGTTGGCCCCCGAGATCGTGCGATTTAACACCTCTTGACTATTTTCTTTGGGGATTTTTGAAGGGAAAAATGTACGCGAATGGTCCCCGGACAATTCAAGACCTAAAGCGCAATATTCGGACTGAAAATGCGGCCATAGACACCTGATTATTCTGGGAAAAGTCATTGAAAATTTTGATGTTCGGATGTTGGCCTGTAAACGAAGCCGCGGTGGTCACATGACTGATGCTATTTTTCATACATAAATGACATAAACCAACCTTCATTTATCAATAAAAAAAATCGATTTCACCTCGTAAAAAGCGTGTTGATTTTTCAAATAAAAAAAGTAATAGATGACGCACCCTGTATAAAACAGACAAGTCAATCATAAAATAACAAACTCAGAGACGCAAGTGGAGTGCAGACAATGGAAGCTCTACTCGATATCCTACCGTTGTATCTATCTAGTGATCCGCGGAGAGGCGAAAGTAATCATACATCGGCTGTGGCAAAGGGAGGATCCTGTTCTTCTGAACAGGGGTTATCTGATCACCCCTGAATATCGCGTTAACCGTAAGTTAAATGTGGAGGCCGAAGTGAGACTCTGAAAGCCTGAAGGTCTGGTACACGGACGACTCGGATACTGAAGAGGGCCCTGGCGCCGGAGTCTTTAGGCCTAGAACTATGATATATCTGTCTCTCGGCGCATACTCCACTATATTCCAGGCGGAAACGTATGCGATTTTGGAGGGAGAAACGCCTGGGAGAAAAATAACAATCTTTTCCTATAGCCAGGCCGCGGTGAAGGCACTCAATGCCTGCAAGAATACTTCAAGACTTGGATTGCAATGCAGGGAGACTCTGGATTGTCTAGCAGCGAAGCATGCGGTGTCGTTTGTATGGATACCGGGACATACTGTGATAAAGAGCAATGATATTACGGATGCTCTTGTGAAAGCAGGATCAAGCTTGTTGGCCCTGAGCCAGCCCTATAGGTCCTCGCGCAAATAGTCAGGAGGAAAATGGATTGCAAGTCAACACTCTCAAAAATGGAGAATCTCTACACATCTCCATCAAGCAAGGGAGCTCATCGTAGGGCCCAGTGTTAAGGATGGACGCTTTTGCTTATCTTTGAATAGAGTCAACCTAAGGTTGTTGGTGGGACTGTTATCATGTGTGAGAGCTGCGGGGTAGAGGAAGAGTCCTCGGCGGATGTTCTGTCGCTATGAGGTTCTGAGCTACTTAAGGCGGACTATTCTCGGGTCCATCACTCTGGATCCCCAGAATGTTGAGGAGCTGGGACTCATGGCTATACTCAACTTTGCTAGAAGGGCTGAGCTTGAGGCTTAGGGAATGTAGGGGTGCATAACGTCCCCCCACATAAATTTAAACGTACCAACGGAACTTGTTCCACTCAACTTCACTCCTTAACACAATTAAGTAATAAATATTCTTGAAATCATGGTGGATGTGTGCTGGTTAATATGCTTCCAAAATTTGTCTTAATTTTGGTGGATGTGCTCGACGATAAACAAAATATTTGTCCAGTTTTGGGATTGAACAACCGGTGGGTACCTTACTTTTCAGAGAATCGTAAATTTCGGGGCTTTCAAAGAAACCGGAAGAGTTTTTTATGTAAAAACCTATATAATATGGAAAAAAACCGACATAATGACAGCCCTAGGGTGTAAATTCATTCGCTCTTGCTCTCTAGTCACCCATAGCGTCATCTTTGAAAGAAAGAAAATTAGTTGAGTAGCAGAGCAGCAAGATCGCATCCGGATGATCGTATGGTGATTGTGTGTATTGTTCTGCATATGTATAAAATCAGGGATATTTGCTATGTCAGAAAATTATTACTGACTATGGTGCCCATGAAGTATATCTATTACCTGGGTTATTTGTGTTGTCCTTTATGGAGAGAGGTTATGTTCAAAGTTATAAATTACGATTTTCCTCGTTTTTTTGCGTATCCAAAAACTTTGAGAAGCATAACAGAAAACCATGCATAATTAAGCTACATCACAGAAAATTAAGAATGTCGCATCCCACACATTTTCGCAGTGCCTCACATCTAGGCGCTGATTTGTATCTTCTACTTGACATCACAGAATAAATTTCTATATTATTTAAATGAGCGGAAATAAAAAATAATGCACAATGCGATAACATTTTCACGTTTCATGTCTGTAGCCTATTTTCTCACCTATTGGTTGCAATATACTTCACCAACCTTTTTTATATTCTCATTTTTAAAATTCAGCAAATTTTCATAAATGTGTCTTAAGGCATACATCTCAAGTAAGTGTATTTGAGACAAGAAACGAAGGAAGTTATCATCAACACGGATTATTAGCATTCAAATCCTCACTTAGCATGCACTCCAGTTTCGCCCGTTTTCTTCCAGCTATAGTATACAACTTACAGCTTAGACCTCCCATAATGCCGTCTCTGAAGCAGATGTTACAAGACATCAGAGCCATACCATGATAGCTCAACGGTCGATACGCGCCAAAATCACGTTACCTTTTTTTACTATTTTGATCTCTTACCAGTAATTTGAATTTCTCTTTATTGATTATAGAGTGCCGATTCCTAGGCCAAACCCTTTTTAACGATTTTCTTTTGGCAAATTTCATGGTTTATTGATTGTATAATTTCACACGTAAGATATCTTCCTTTCTCAGCGATTCAGTATTGTATTGAAATCTTTTGGACACTAATGTTATAGTATTTTTAACGACTATCTTCGAAATTTCCTCATGAAATACCATTGCACCATCGTAGAGTTGGTTCTGCCCATTGGCAGCGGTTGTGATTTCCGTACGTGCTAGCCGTATAGGGATATTTGATACCTTCTTGGAGGCCACTCATTTCAACTTCTTTTAATGTTTACTTTGCGATCAAGATGCCTTGTTTTGAAAAATTGGTGTACAGACGCGTCCAGCGCCATTTTGCTTTCCGCTGTGGTTTTGGTTGTTTCATTAATTTCCAGATTCTGGAGTTTTAGACCCCCAAACACGAATTTATGGAGTAGTACCCTTTTATTTTGTACCTTACATTTAGTTGTTTGGGTTGGGTACTACCCCGTCCATTTTTAATGGAATTTTAACCTCCAACGTGAAAAGGCATTGCGGAGAACCACCATTCACACTCCTCCAGCTTTGTTTTGTAGCTGTTTCGCAGAAGCTTTTGTTGGAAGCCTATCAAGAGTACGACATCTAGTTCCAAGTTGACATCTTGCAGGAAAACATTACGTCACTTTTCAAGATCCGTAATACCCCTTCTGGAGGCCAGGTATTTTCTGGACTTTAGGGTCAAAATCTCTTTTGGTGTTGAAATAAAAAACTAATGTGTACTATCAAAGCTTGGGCTTTTCGGATTTTTTACGAGGATTGATCTAGAAATAACGTCCCCAAAGAGCTTCTACCATACTGGAAGATGCGAGGGGAAACCCCTCCTCTTTAGAGTTCCCATTTTTAATCCCACCAAGTGCGAGAGTCGTTCCATAATTTCGCTTTCTGCAGACCAGGGACTCATCAAGTCAAGTAGCTGTATATTTTTAGACACTACTGACTTGACTTTTTGTACTCAGTGTCAATACTAGGTCAATTCCTTTGCCTCAAAATATAAAATTAGCAATCACAATTGTACTATCTGATGAATACGCGTTTCATAGTCTGCGTAAACCGAATATTGGAGATCATGATGTAATGCTGGAATCCATACTTACCTTGTAACAATTAACGTATCAAGAATCAAGATGCAGTTTCAGAGCTTCTTACCTGCAAAAGAAGAGATTGTATTAAAAATATGTTGCTTTGCTCATTCGGCATAACGACCAAATGCTCACTAATGGTCGCAACTGCTACTTAGGCTTTGTGAATTGAGCACTCAATTTTTCTCACTACACTCATTCAAACATATGGGCTTTCTCTTAACTCCGTTTTAGATGTACACGTCTTCACAGATCTCTGGGAATTACAAAACCAAGCAGAACAAAAATGTATCAAGCTCATCCAAAAGGTGCTCCGTAAACGAAAGCATAGGAAAGTAAGAACCTGATTCATATCCAGTTTCTCCATATTTGTCGCCTATTTATAAAAAAATGCGTCGAGCAGATTGACTCCGCACTTCCCATCAGTTTATTCAGGATTATGATCAGCGTTCTGAGAGAAAAATTAGTTATGAACAAGTGTAACAGAAAAAAAGTCAGCCAAACAGACCAATACAC